GGCTGTCTGGAGGCTGGAACTGGAGGCTGCTGAGGCTGGACAACAGGATGTAGCTCTCTGCTCTGTGGTGACTCTCATCTACCAGCTGTTAAGGACCGCAGACAATGGAGCAAGGGACAGGACCCCCAGGCTCACCTCCCCATGATGCAACTTGGCCAAGAAGCCTGGACAGGGGCTCAGGTCTGCCACCACATTTATGGGTGGGTGTGGGGCCTGCAATTCCTGGGTTTCATTTTCATTCATTAGCCAACACCACCCATTAAGGTCTCATCCTGCACAGCTGCAGCTGCCCTGGACCCAAAGGGCCATCAAACACATGGATGAGTTAATTAACCTCGCAAAAGGAATGGTCCATTTGCAAAAGGGACACCTGAAGACCAACAGCAGGACAAATCCATGTCCTCTACCTCCTGACTGGCTGCACTGAAAAGGACACAAGTTACCACAAGCATATTCCAGCGTTTGAACTGAATCTAATCACTAGAAGACAATCCAAAAAGGAGCATTAACCTGTGGGAGGTGTCAGAAGATATCAGTTTCTTGTGTTCCAAATGAAGAATTGGACAGAGACTCACAGATTACAAAGCAGCAGCACAGTTTTATTAAAAGGGAAAGAAGCAGGGCACTGACGGTCCATGCCTGTAATCCTAGCTATTCAGGAGACAAAGATCAGAAGATTATAGTTTAAGACCTTATCTCAAAAATATCCAACACAAAAAATGGTGAGGGAGTGGCTCAAATGATAGAGCAACCTAGCAATGCCTAGCAAGCCTGAGGCCCAGAGCACAAACCCAGACAAATTTTAAAATAGATAAACAGGAGGATATGCCAGCAGAGAGCAGTAGGCTCAGGCCAGGTGGCTCAAGAAGCTTGACGTTTGTGCAATAGGCAATTTGTAAGTTGTAAGGGTAAACAGCAGGAAAAATCTGGGCGGTCTTTGCAGGAGAGGCTTGGGTGACTGACAGGTTTGATTGACAAGGTCTTGCTATGTAATATGGGGCATTTTGTGCATTTATGCTGAGTCCCAGGTTTTTAACTGTATCTGTGAGATATGAAAACTGTTCACAAACTCTTAAGGAGAGGGCTTTTCTGGAAAGGTCAGAATGAGGACAGATTTCCCTTTCCCACGTATGTGCTATTTTCTGGTCTGAACTGGCCAAGAGACTCTCTCTTCTTTTGGGGGAATTTACAATTGCAATTCTGACCATAAAATGACCACAAGAGGGTATGTCCAAGGATGTACTGGGCAGGAACAAAGACGAGTCCAGCATTGGGTGACCTTTTGCTGAGGAAGGCTGAGTCCCATGGCTTTTCGTTGTTATTTTCCTGTTACTAGCCTGCCTCTGGAGCAGGCAGAACAATTCTCAGGACACAGACAGGTAGGATGAATTTCCATTCCAACAACCAAGTGGGGAAACCTCCTTATGCCCAGGACCCCATGCTCAGTTCCCAGAATGACCTTGCCTAAGAAATGGAGCCAAACTAACCCTAACGGCAGCTCTCCTGCCCAGAGCGCCTCAAAGTAAGATTTTAGAGGATCAAGCTATTTCCAGTAATTTAATTGTATCTTAGAACAAGTCTCAAAAAGTGTGTAAAGGAGCACACACATGAAAAAGCCAACTCTAAGCCATCTGAAACCTACTCAGCACAGCACCCAAAGAACGGTAGTCAACAACAGAAAGGAATAGACTATCAAAGCACTCCACAGAGCGGGCAGATCTCCAAACTCCATTGCTGAGTGAAAGAAGCCAGACTCCTCAGAACGGTGTGTGCAGAGGGCTTCCCTTTACACACCTCTAGAAAACTGAAATAACTTGCAATAGCAGAAAGCCTAGTGGCTCCTTGGCCTGGGTGTGGGCACTTGGCTCAGAGGCAATTTTCAGAACTTACAGGTAGAAATTTCATTGTCTTCATTTTGCCAGTTCTTTTGCCAAAATTGATGGAATTGGATTGGGATTGGGACTACAAAAGGGAAAAACTTTTGGTGTAGCCAGCTTGCCTGCTGGCCAGTAAATCTGCTTGTTAATCAACTGACATTTTTCCCTCTTTGTCGACATGCTGGAGAGCCCAAGGTTAACTCCGTTTGCTCTCCTGTTGAACCAGGCTGTCTTTCCCCTTATCTCTCTCTGACCGCCAGAGGAGAAAACCTGTCAGCCAAGACACAGCTTCAGAGACGGGGCACCAGGGCACCTGGAGAACCAAGGCCAGCACCCATTCTGGGACATGCGTTTCATCACCTACTCAAGCTGAGCCCCCGAGCACCCCTTTAAAAAGTGGACATTTTTTCTCTCAGAAAGGGGACAAACAGAGCTTTGAGAGGTTGACTATCCTCCTCATCTGATGAATAATAAACTTTATTTTTCTCAAAAATCCTCTAATTTGTGAATTGACATTGAGGCCAGGGAACAGTTTTCTGGTAACAGGATATTGTTATGTGGTCACGTGTGGTTTCACAGTGGAGTGTGGCCACAACAAAACCTAAAATGCAGGGCTGGCCTTGCACCAGGCAGTGCCCATTGTAGAGGAAGCTGCTGGCCTGTGGTGAGGCCGCAGGTGAGGATGGAGGGAAACACCACCGAGGAATGAAGACAGGGGAGACTCAAATGGAAGTAGAAAGCTCAGTACTGGTACCTGTAGTCATGTGAAGAGTAGAAAGCTGACCTAGTGGACAGGAGGAGGTTTCCAGCCTCATGATGAAGCTGCTACCTGGTCCCTTCTGCTGCTTGTAGCAAAATGTGACACAAAAGATTGATGGTTAAAGGGGATGGCACACATCTGTGATCCCAGCTACTTAGGAGGTAGAGGTACAAGGATTTTGAATTCAAGGCCAGCCTGGGGAAAGTTAGTGAGAGTCTATCTCCAAAACAAACTGCAAAGGGCTGGGGCTGGGGATCAAGTGTGAGAGTGTTTGCCTAGCATGTGTGTATGAGGTCCTGGGTTTGATCCCTAGTACAGAAGGAAGGAAGGAAGTGAGGCAGGCTAAAATTAGGGAAAGTTCGGGGCTATTTTTCAGACTGTATCTGCTGTATCTTCGCAGCCCCTCGCCTACCAGCTCACGCCGGTAGATGTTCTCTAGAACTTCTCATGTTAGTTCAGGGGCCTCAATGAAGAGAAGCCTGTCAGGATATAAACCATCCATCCTAAAAACCTGGGGCTGTAAGCCTAGTGCCCTGACCAGATGAGGCCTTGGGGACCCGAGATGGAACATGGGTGAAGATGTGTGTGTACAGAGGGACATCAACATGCCTGGACCCCTCACCCCCCCACCCCCATCCCCCCACCCCCGGTGCACTTGGCGTGCGCTTGGCCTTTCCTCTCATTGGGAAAGCAAAGTGTGTCTCACAGCTCTGGGACTTTGGGGAACACTGTGACTTGCTTTGATGACAGTGGTGAGGCAGAAATGGCAAGTGTGGCTTCTCTGAGCCCTTAAAGGATTCTAACTCTTCCTTAGTCACTGTGCCTGTCATTGTTGTGACACAAGCTTCTTGTGGTTAGCACCTCCCCTTCTTCACTACAAGAATGAGGAACAAGTAGGGCGGATCCACCCAGCTGGGTTAGGTTAGGGTTAACCTAAACCCACTGACCTGCAGCAAACCCACATATGCAAGAACAAAGCCACCCGATTACAACAGCCAGCTCCCAGGCTGACTCACAGATAAGAAAGCAGAGCAAATGTTTATTGATTTATGGCATTGAGATTTCGGGGCGTGTGCTACATAGCAGTAGCTGCCTGATTCAGCCCTGCTGCTTTCTCCTAGGTGAACTCAGGAACGCCTGTGACTTCACTTACCACATATGCATCAGTGACACCAAAAATTTTATCTCCCACTTGGGTCTTTCCTCTGAACTCCAGCTCCCTACCTGCTCTCTCCCTGGATGCCACAGGGACACTATAAATTCAACCTCATGGTCCTCCCCCATACCTGGTCCTTTTCTAAGCCCTCTCTCTCCAACCCCTATCTGGCCCCAGTCCTCATTCTCCACCGCCCGCCCCCACCCCCCGCCCCCGGATGCCGGCTGGCTTCCTCACACCTGTTTCTGGTCCCTTCAATTCCTTCTCCACACACAGGTTCTTTCAAACCACAGAACTGATCACACAGCCAGCCCTTTCATCACACCCAACACCACACACCTCATACAAAGTCCATGCACCACCTCCTTCCCAACGCCCTTAAACACAGCCCTAGCCCTTCACTGTGGCCTTTGAGGCACTGTAAGGTCTGGCCTGTCCATGCACAGCTCCTCCACACAGCTCTCCACACTCCCCAACTGGCATCCCCTGACCTGGAGAGACCATTTTCTTCTCACTCTGGGTCTTTTCAAAAGTCACTTCTTCCCCGAGGGATGCTCCCAGCTCTGCCATCACCCCAACCTGTGCATCTCAGCTTCTGCCAAGGAGCAATCCTGACCACCCCTAGGTGGAGGGAGTCAGACTTGCTGTTGGTCTGCACTTCTTGCTCCTAGATGAATTTCTGCAGGGTCAGATGATGGTGTGATTGATGGCTGCCCCAACCCCTACCAAGGTATCGATTCTAGAACTGCATTTACCCATTGTGCTGATGGCCCCTGTGCACGATGCTTGGTGCAGAACACACAGTGGATGCCCAGAAATGTTTGGTGGGTGAGTGAGCGGCTTCCTGAGAAGGTGTGGAGTGACAAGGAACCCACGGGTGATAGCATAGAGAGAGGCGCGTGGTGAGGTTTACACTAGACAGGCCTGTGGTCTATTTCACAGCAGACAGGACCAGCAGTGGCACACATGCAGCATACACAGGACACGCGGACGAGCCTACTTAGCACCTCTCTGCCCGGGTGCGAGTGCCCTCCTTCCCCAGGGCTCTGCAGTCAGAGCCAGAACCACTTGGTTTGTCCACAATCAATGATCTGGGGTCACCAAATGCTCTTGACAAGGCACTGGACATGAAGACTTTCCATCTGGAACACTTCCGGTGTCTGCAAGGACCACAAGTTGATGGAAAAGAGCAGAAGGTGACTGTCCCTCATGGCAGGATGGTGTGTGCACAGGAAGCTGCAGGGGAGGAAGACAATGGTGAGAGGGTGGGCTGCTGTGGGGCGCCACTGCTGCACCATCTGCTTTCAGGACCTCTCCCTGGTTCCACGTGTGCTCCTCCCAGACGCTACAGAAAACAAAGCCATGAGGCCCCACCCTCGATGTCACCTGTCAGATGGAACCTTTGCACCCTGGAAGCCTCTCACTGACTGCACCAGGCTCGAGTCCGATGTGACTGAAGGCCAGGAGGCACCAGGGAATCACACACAGGCACATGCACAGTTGGCCTCTGAAGATCAAAACTCAACTCTTTCCTCTCTCCATGCCCCTCATGAGCCAGCGGGGCAGGGGACAGGCAAGGGCCAGGACAGTAAAGCGTGAGGTTGGATGGTACCGTCTTTCGGAAGAATGGTGGCCTCCTTGGTGAGCTGCAAAGTGTAGCAGGTGTCCAGGAATTCTCTGAGACTCAGGAAGCTGGAGACATTCTGTCTGTCTGCAGTTTGAGCCAGAATCATAGCAGCAGAGACGCCTGTTCTGGCATCTGAGAGGTTGCACCCCGACCCCCACCCCATGCCACCCCACCACTGTCACTCTGTCCTGTCCCCCATTTCCACGGCAGCAAGGCTTGGGGCTGGGACTGCTGTACAGGGGTGGGCACTGGGCATGTGTCCAGGACACTGCACTCCTGAGTATGCCCACCTGAGCACATGGACTGAGCCAGGACCCCTCCCCTCTGCCCTCTCCACAGGACTGCCCTTGCCCCATCCCCATAACCCACACTTGGTGCCTGGAAGAGGGCTCCTGCCCCTCACCCTACCTCATCACTTCCACACACCCCTCCACCTGGGGTGAACCCCTCCCTGGTCCCCTCTCCTCACCCCTGCTGTGTTCAACCAGCCCATCCTGACCCTTTCACCCAGGGCTTGGAACCTGCGTCCCCTCGTCCCAACCTCATCCTGGGCAGCCTCCACCCACCTGGATGGCCATCCCATACCAGTCTTCCCATCCTGACTCCCTTCCCTAAAGGACACCACACACCCCTGCTGCAGCCACCTTCAGACCTTACACATGGTGGCTTCCACTTCCGCTGCCCCTTTCAGAGCACCTGCACTGACCATCCCCCTCCCTCACCAAGCACACTCACCTGCCAGCCCCCTCTCCCCTCCACACCTGCCCTCTGTGCCAGTGCCCCTCCTGTCCTCTGTAGCCTGCCTCTCTCCACATGCCCCCCCGACTCCCGAGGGACCCCAAGGCCAGGGGCCCCAGGGTCACACTTACCCAAGAGCAGCAGGCTCTTATAGCTGTGGTCCGTACGCCCCAGGCGGAGATAAACCAGGCCATAGCTGTAGTCAGTGGACAGCACATGGAAGCCCTTCACCCCCTTCACTGCAAGAGAAGCTGCAGTGGCCTGCTGGTGCCTGGACATGAGGCCCACAGCCCAGTGCCAGCCCAGCGTCACCCCTGGCTTCACCACCCTGGCCAGGCTGCCCACAGAAGCACAGTCAGCTCTGGGATCACAGCCAGCCTGCCTGCCTGTCCCGGGCATCCAACATGTCTGCCAGGCTCTCAGAGCAGAGGGCTGCTACTGGCATCTCATCCGGTTCCCCCACGACCCCTGGCATCCTACGCACAGGTGTTCCTGAACACAGCCTTTTTCCTGTCTTTCTTCAGGGTCACCTCCTGGGACTGGCAGCCCTGAGACCTGGGGAAACAGATACTGCAAGGTGCAGCCAGGGTGTCCTTCCTGTCCACCAGCCACCACCCCAAGACCACCTTGCCTGACCCCACCCACTCCCCTGACTGGGTGTTTCTCCCAAAAGCATCCCTTGGATTTTAGGGGAGGAAGGCGGTGAGAGACAGATCTTGTGTCCTCCCCATACTTCTTCGCCTTTCCCACTGTTCCTTCTTCCCAGACTGTGAGCTGCCCCTCATCAATCCACAAGGGCATGCTGAGGCCATGGCCCATGTCCACTCACCTGCTAAAGGCAATGACCACCTTCACCTGGCCCACCTTGGGCACCTTCACCACGGACGCCCCCAGCTTCCTCTTGTCTCTGGCCGGCAGGAAGCCCTGGGCGTCTGTGGCGATGGCAACAATGTACCAGAACCCTGAAAACTGGGGGCATCAGAAAGTACAGTGCCCAAGCTGCTGCACCATGCTGCCCGCAGCCCACCTCCCAGCCAGAGAACTGACTAAACAAGTGACCATTTCCCAAGGTCCAGCCCACATCTGTGCCTGCAGGTGGACACTGCCCCCATCCCTGGGCCCTGGATGCCCAAGCCAGGCCAAGAAGAGACTGATGCCCAGCTGGTCAGGAGCCTAAGGAGGCCCAGGGCCAGACTGTGGACGCCAGCAGCTTGGAGTTTCCCCTGCCCACCTCAGAGCCCCAGCTCCTACCTGCTTGGGTCTCCTGGGGCCCTGGACCCAGTCCTTCCCCTTCCCACTTGCCCCTGGACCCCTGACCACTGGCTCTTCCTGCTGCAGACCCCTCGCTCTGGGGCACCACTGTGCCTTGTGAGTGCTGCCCCCATGGGCCACCAGTCACCATGCTCATGGTCGCCCTACCTGGAACTTTCCACCCAGGCAGTCTCCTTGTTCCTGCATGCCCTGCGCATTCCACCTCCCCAGACCACAAGAGGATGTACTTCTCTGGGCCCCTCCACCTTCTTGGGGTCTCCTCACCACCTAGGGCTGTAATTCTGGGCCCCTCCACCCTGCCCCCTCCTCGGTGCTCTCAGTCCCCTTTGCAGAGCACCTTCCAGGCTCCCAGGGCTTGGGGCAGCTGTGGGAAAGGCCAGGTGGGACACAGCAGGGCCTGTGCTCCAACCTCCTGCTTGGGGCATTAGTCCAGCTCCCCCTACGAGTAGAATTTTGTCCCCAAAGGGTCCACATGCCACTGCATCCTGGCCCCTTGTAGCCCTGGTGCCTGGCTCAGGGCCCAGCAGGCATGTAGCTCACCTTGCCCCAGTTGAGGCTGTGGGCCTCCTTGGGGAAATGGTCCAATGGCTGGGATCCCACAGCCAGGACCAGAGCCAGGGCTAGGACCAGAACCAGCACCAGTCCCAGTCTCATCTTCACCTGCACTCAGCCCAGAGAGCCAGACACTGTGTTTAGCCTTTCTGTCTGCCCTGCTCACCCTGCTGTGGGTGCCTGACCCACCCCCTGACCCTTAAGCCAGTTGGGTCTGGCCAGCACCTCAGGATGGGAGGTGGGCAGGTGTGGCTTTGGACTATGCCCCTCCTCCTAGCAGAGGCTGACCCAAGCACCTGGCCTTTAGCCTGGCCATTGCTGGCTGCAATAAACATTGCCTGCTTGGAAGGCCCTGGTAACGGACACCATCATGTTTTCAGAGACCACACTAGAGTTCTGGTCCCTCATATCCCTTGCTGCTGGGGGTATAGGTCTGTCACATGTCCCCTGCACACTATTACAGCCCTGGGCTGTCTCACCTGACAGTGGATGCCCTTGGCCTCTCATCCTAGACCCCTAGGTGAGAAACAGAGAGCAGCGTGGTGCTCGGACTCCACCACTCGGGGCAGGTGTGCCAATGGGGGCTGCACAGTGGCCTCTGGGTGCAGATTTGGAGCACCTTCTTGAGGTCACAGTGCATAAGGAGGTGCCAATAGCCAGGCCAGGAAGGGATGTGTATACACATGTTGGTGGGTAAACTGGGCACACGTGTGTGTCCAGCCTTAGGATTGAAGCTCCACACTCCCCTCAGTGTAAGTGACATCAGTCCCACCTACTCCCAGCCCAGCTGCTCCCATGGTTTGGACCCAGGAGGGCCCTGAGGCTCTAGTCCTTGGGGTCCCTAGCCCTAGGCAGAGAAATGCAAGCATAGGTTGTAGTTGTGTCTTCCTTCCTGGGCAGGGAGAGGACACTATGGTCCCATGCACACCAGCACCAGCCTTCTGGTCCAGCGTTCTATCTGAAGAATTGTCAGATCCACCCCACAGGCACTTGGCCCAACCCAGGCAGATCAGACTCTGCCTCTCTGGAGCTGTGTCAAGCCACCCAGAGAGAAGCAGCTCACTCTGCCCCAGACCCACAGACACTGGCAAGGGACATAGGAATGGTAAGTCTTCTTATCCCAGGGTTGCAGGTTCTGAACCCTCGTCTTCCCTGCATAGGCCTATCTGGCTCCTCTGCTCACCCAGCACCACCTAGCCAGTCAAGACGCACAGGAGCAGGTCTGCTTGTAGAATCTCTTTATTCTGAGTGCAGCAAGGGCCTGTGGGAGCAAGAAGCCAATGCCTACACCTTGGGCTGCCAAGTGAGGAGGACAGCACCCATCCGGCTACACCAGAATCCTGTGCATCATCGCGAGGGCTGCCATACTCACTGAAAACCAGGGCGAGCACTGGGGAACGGCCCACCAGAGACGTCAGCCAGCCTCACCTCGTCAGTCATGGCATCAACTGCCTGAATTTGGGCAAGAGCCCTCCCAGGGACCCTGGAGAGCCAGGGGTCAGGCACAAGGAGGCTGACCTGGAGAATCTTGTTTGCACAGGTGACTGAAAAGAGAGGCCAGGCCAGCTATGAGGACTGGGCTGCAGGACCCTGCCCATAGGCCTCACCTGAGAGGGGGCCATTCCTGCAGGCTTGACTCTGACAGGGGTGGGTGATCCATCAAAGCCCCCAGAAACGTGCAAAAACCAGGAAATGACCCCCAGGCCTTATCGCCTGGGCACAGAGACTGCATAAGCTCCCCTGGGGCTACTCTCAAGCACACTCACGGTCCTTCTGTAGCTGGGCCTGCTGCTCAGACAGGAAGCCCAGACCCCTGCTCCACTTGGTGAAGAGCTGTGTTGCCTCTGGGCTGGCCATCTCTGTCCGGCCTGTGCAAGAGAGGGGCAGCCTCTGAGAGCCAGACAGGGCATGGAGAGGGGCCACCTGCCCATGACAGTGACCCCAGCCCCTTTCTGGGGTCACTGTTCAGAGGACACCCTCAGACCCACAAGCCTCAAGGTGGCAGGGATTTAGCCCTGCTTGTCTCCCACCTGTGGACACAGAGTCCCTGAGTCTGGGGTGCCAAAGGTTCTGAGTGGCCCCGCCTGTGCCCACTCACTGTACAGCTCCACAGTGTTGAAGGCCTCGTCCCCGAACTCCAGCTGGGTGAAGACGACAGCAAAGTCTTTGAAGTTGGTACTCAGTACCCGGAAATCCAGCACGCCCAGGGCTAGAAAGCAGATGCGTACCCCAGGTGAGGACAGGGCCACTGGTCTGGGATCAGCCACAGGACTGGGGGTGCAGATTCAAGGTGAGACCCCATCAGACCTAGAAGACACCCCGAGCTCTGTCCTCTGGCTCCTGACCCCCACATGGTGCCATTGAGAAGCTGCTCTTAGATACTGATGGACAGATGGACAGCACTGCTTGTCCTACCTTGTCCTAGAATAACTGAGGAGAGACTGGGTCACCCTTCCCCAATTCCATCCCTGTGGTGACAGATAGCTACTGACCAGACAGTCAACCCTCTGCACCTATAGAGGGGTCCCGGGACCTAGCCTAGGCCCCCCTCCATGGGCATCTGTGCATGCCTAGGGGACACGGGGTCTGAGTCCTCTGTCCAGGGGTCTCTCTTGTCCTCAGGATCAGCTCCAAGACCCTGACAAAGTCAGATCCTTTAACTTCCCATGGGGAATGTCCCTGGAATACTGTGGCCCCTCCTGCCAGTCCTGGCCCTGCCAACCAGGGATTTGGGGACACTGTAAGGGCTGGCCTCCATGACAGTCCAGCCAAGCATCACCCGGATGAAGCCCCTGAGGTTGTCATACTCACAGGGGTTCTCAAATACCCATCTGGAATCTCGCTTCAGCAGCTCCATTGTGCTCTGGTGGTGGCACCCGTCCAACCTGGAAATTAAAGGGCCCCTCAGTGCAGCATCAAGACACTGGCACCAGAAGAGGAGACAGGCACGCCTCACCTGGCCAGCCAGCTGGAAAGACCACAGAGGGAATTCATTCCCCTCTCGAAGTTCCAGTTACCCAGAAACCCTGCTCTAGGGAGACTGCCTGGTGCGGGCAGAGAAGTGACTCCCCTCCCAGGACACCTGTGACACCTGGTACACATAAGGAGCATGGGGCCTTCGGAGGGCACACACAGAGGTCAGCCTGTGACTCAAGCAAACAGACTCAGCCTCAAAGGGGTCAAGGCTCCCCGAGTTCTCAGTCCCAAAAGTGAGCAAACCCAACGAGTGTGTGGTGCTATTTGTTAGACTAAACAAATTGACAGCAAAGATGAACAAGACAACCATGATAAGAAGGACCAGAAATGCTAAAGGGAACTGCCACAAGAGCTGGACCGTCATGATGAGGCTCGTGCTCTTTTTTTTTTTTTATTATTGTTTTATTATTCATATGTGCATACAAGGATTGGGTCATTTCTCCCCCCTGCCCCCACCCCCTCCCTTACCACCCACTCCGCCCCCTCCTCCTCCCCCCCCAATACCCAGCAGAAACTATTTTGCCCTTATCTCTAATTTTGTTGTAGAGAGAGTATAAGCAATAATAGGAAGGAACAAGGGTTTTTGCTGGTTGAGATAAGGATAGCTATACAGGGCGTTGACTCACATTGATTTCCTGTGTGTGGGTGTTACCTTCTAGGTTAATTCTTTTTGATCTCACCTTTTCTCTAGTTCCTGGTCCCCTTCTCCTATTGGCCTCAGTTGCTTTTAAGGTGTCTGCTTTAGTTTCTCTGTGTTGAGGGCAACAAATGCTATCTAGTTTTTTAGGTGTCTTACCTATCCTCACCCCTCCCTTGTGTGCTCTCGCTTTTATCATGTGCTCAAAGTCCAATCCCCTTGTTGTGTTTGCCCTTGATCTAATGTCCACATATGAGGGAGAACATACGATTTTTGGTCTTTTGGGCCAGGCTAACCTCACTCAGAATGATGTTCTCCAATTCCATCCATTTACCAGCGAATGATAACATTTCGTTCTTCTTCATGGCTGCATAAAATTCCATTGTGTATAGATACCACATTTTCTTGATCCATTCGTCATTAGTGGGGCATCTTGGCTGTTTCCATAACTTGGCTATTGTGAATAGTGCCGCAATAAACATGGATGTGCAGGTGCCTCTGGAGTCACCCGTGTCACAGTCTTTTAGGTAGATCCCCAAGAGTGCTATTGCTGGATCAAATGGTTGATCAATGTCTAGCTTTTTAAGTAGCCTCCAAATTTTTTTCCAGAGTGGTTGTACTAGTCTACATTCCCACCAGCAGTGTAAGAGGGTTCCTTTTTCCCCGCATCCTCGCCAACACCTGTTGTTGGTGGTGTTGCTGATGATGGCTGTTCTAACGGGGGTGAGGTGGAATCTTAGCGTGGTTTTAAAGGCTCGTGCTCTTCTAGGGCTTAATCCTCCAGGTGGACGCTCTGCCCCCAGAGGCGAACTTACCAAGGTTCATTGCCTACTGTGTGTCCAAATGCAGAAGACTGGCAGTCACCTAAGTGTCCGTCAGCCACTGGCTAAGAAAGGCAAGGTGGGTACTCCACAGAGCACCTCAGAGTCAAATGTGACACTGCCACGTGACCCAGCAATCCCACTCAGGTATGCGCCTGAAAGAATTGGAAGTAGGGTCTAGAAGACATATTTGTGCACCCCTGTTCCCTGCAGCATGTTCAGATGGCTGGGAGGGGAAGAACCTCAGTGACTGTTGATGGGTGATGAGTGAACAACATGTGGTTCGTCCATACAGAGGAGCACCGCCAGGCTAGGGAGGAAGGCGGGATGGACGTGAAGGACATGGGGCTAGGGAACAAGTCCTGTAGGATCCACTTATCTGAGGTCCCCTGTAGTCAGACCCGTAGAGACGGGAGGGGCCTGGGGAGGTAACGAGGAGCTGGTGTTTAACAGCGTCCTGTAGTTTGGAAGTGTCCCTGAGGCCAGCTGTTGAAGGCTTGGGCCCAGCCTTCAACTATTGGGAACCAGAGAATCTTTAGGAGGTGGCCTGGTGGAAGGAAATAGGTCATTAGGGACAATGCCCTTGAAGAGACTCTGCCCTTCCTCCCTTGCGCTCTCTCTCTCTCTCTCTCTCTCGCTCTCTCTCTCTCTCTCTCGCTCTCTCTCTCTCTCTCTCTCTCTCTCTCTCTCGCTCTCTCTCTCGCTCTCTCTCTCTCTCTCTCTCTCTCTCTCTCGCTCTCTCTCTCTCTCTCTCTCTCTCTCTCTCTCGCTCTCTCTCTCTCTCTCTCTCTCTCTCTCGCTCTCTCTCTCGCTCGCTCTCTCCCAGTGTCATGAAGTGAGCAGCCTCCTCCACCACGTGTTCTCCGCCATGATGTACTGTGCTGGCACAGCCCAACACAACAGGGCCAGCCAAGTCACCGTGGGCTGAAACCCCTGACCCCGTGAGCCAAAGCAAACCCCACCTCCTCAAAAGCTGTTACCTCAGGTGTTTTGTCATGGTGACATAAGGCTAATACATGAGGACAGTGTTTGGGAAGATGAGAGTTTTGTGGATGGCTGGTGGTGATGGCCGTGCAACAGTGTGACAGCACGCTCTGACGAGTGGCCACAAATCAAAGCCCTGGTTGGCTAAGGCAGGGCGGGAGGAACGACCTGAAGTGCCCACTCAGCAACTCTGATTTTTGAACTGTGCCAATGTATTTCCTACTGAAAGGCCAATGAACAAATCCAAGTAGAATAAAACCCAGGACGCCCCTGCCTCTCCTGTCAGCCTGACCCTCCTGAACCCCACGCCCTGGCGTCCGTGTCTGGGGGCTTAACCCAAAGCGTCAGGCTGGGCGGTCAGAGGCCAGCTGGGCCCAGGGTCCAGGAGTGCAGATATGAGAGGCTGACAAAGAATGTGGGGCTCAGAACAGAGCCCAGCAGGCCCAGGGAGTGTGTGCAGAGCCCATCCTAACAACAGCACAGTGCAAACCCTTGCCCTGTCCACACTTCCTTCCCCCAAGAGGGATCCAGAACGAGCTCCTGAAGCCCTCCAGCCCTCCCCTCCCCCGTGAGTCTGGAAAGGTTCCAACGCTGCTCTGCAGAGCCAGGCCAGGAAACAGGGCCTGAGGTCAAGACCAAGGACAGGCACGAGCTGATCTGATCGAGAACAAGTGGTTCTTCCAGAAACCACAGTTTTAGGTATCTTCATTATGATCATTAAAAATGCAAAAAATCCCCCAAAGTCTTTTTTAAAAGCCTCCCACTCTTCCTGGCCCACCTTCCCTTCTGCTCTGCTGGCCTGGAACTTCCCCCACTCTCCAGTCAGCTCCCCAACAAAATGTCCTGTTTCTTCCGCCCCACCATCCAGACCTGTTCACTCTCCAGCCACCTCCTACCCTACTGCCCCTCCTTCCCTCCCCTCCCCTCCCCTCCCAGAGACCCCTGGCCTGTCCACATGCCCCCAAGGCCCTCCCAGGGCTCTCTGCAGCGTGGGCTTCCTGCCCTCAGGTCATGGAGCCCGTGCCCCTGAGCAGAGGTGCTTGGTGGGGTCTTTCTGAGACCCAGAGGAAGGCGGCTGGGGGGTCCTTCAGCCACGTGCCAAGGCCTTAGCCCTGCACACATGGGATTCGTTTACTCAGTCGCCCACTGGTTCATCAACGGGATTTACTGAGCACTTCTGCAGAGCAGCAAGGCTGCGGGTGCTCAGGACCCATCCCTGAGCGAACGTTGCACCCCCACAGGCCCAACCTGCTCAGTCTCCTCCATCCCTGCCATAAGCCCCACCTGGGAGCCGGCTTCCTGCAGGCACATTGCCACTAGTCAGAGTAAGAGGAGGAGGGAGGCAGAGAGCACAGAGCTGTGACCGGTGGGTGTGTGAGGGCTGCTGCCAAAGGTGCAGGCTCCACTACCAGGGGTACAAGAGGGAGGGTCCTAGACGCGGAAGCCTTCAGGAGGGAGCCATGGACCCTGGCCCAGACCCCCAAAGGAAACACTGCCACCCAGGCTGCTGGGTATAGGGCTGTCAAGTCCTCATTCTCAGAGAGGCCATGAAACGGTGCCACAACCGAGCCTGCTTAGGTTGTGTGTTGAGCAAACAAACCCCGTCCCCCACCATGGGAAAAGCAAGGTTATGGACTCCAAGCTTGTCCAGCAGGGAGCTGACCACATACCCTGGCTGGGCAGAGAGCTCCACTCAGCAGGGGTGGGAAGCTTGCTAGTGGAAGAAGCTTCTAGCTGCGCCCTAATGAGGCTGTTGACCAGGGAGCTGGTGTTGGTTCCCTGGTACAAGGCACCCCTGGGATTGGTCAGGGAGTATGGTCGGCTCTTTTCAGGTGGTCCAAAGAAGAGGCAGGGACAAAATTAGGGAGGCTATCAGTTACTAGCCATGTCCCTGACACTTAAAAGTTGGCAGAAAGCAAAATAAGAAAACACATGTTTCTGCTTATGTCTGCAGAAAGAAACACAGAAAGCATGAACTGGAATCTGATGAGCCCAGCTCCCAAGGGTGAAGCTAGAAGGAGGAGGAAAAGGAAGCAGTTGGACCCCTGAGTCCAGAACAGTCCGTTTCTGTGGTTTCAAATTTAGAATCACAGTAATGTAGTTTAACAGTGCTCAAACATAAAGCAAACAAATCCCTAGAATGGAATCCAATTGTAGTACAAATAAATGCCACAATCACACCAAAGGGGGAAAGAAAGACCCTGAGTAAGTTCTGAACAGAGTTTCTTTCTCTGAACTCACAGGCTAAAGACTGAAGGAACTGAACCAAGCAGCACATGTGTCTTCCCAGCAGCTGGGAAAGCAATTCTGAACGTGCTTTGTGCGCTCTAGGAAGGGCTTCATGAGGAAACATTGAGGATAAAGGGTTTCTCAGTGACGGAAAAGGGAGCTGTAAGCACAGAAATATAGAAAGGAAGATCCCTGGATGAGAAATATAGAAAGGAATGTCCCTGGGTGAGATTTTTTTTGAGCCTTTTTTCTTTATTTTTCCCACTTATTTTTCTAACCCTTGTAGTCTCTAAGCTGATGCTTTCTCATCACATCTGGGAATATTTTTTCTGCCCAGTTCTCACTCTCCTGTCTTTCTGGGGCTATTTTGCACTCATGCCCTTACCCAATGGATCCATGTAGTGCTCCCAATCTCTTCCTCAGATTGATTCACAAACACTTTAATTTCCCATTTCCAATCTGCTATTAACTCCATCCATTAAAATTTTCATTTTGTTTATTGTACTTTTCAGCTCTGTAATTTCCATTTTGCTCTTGTGATAGTTCCCATTTCTCTGCTGAATTTCCCTATCTGCTATTTGTTGGTTCTTTCTCCATTCGTTAATGAATCATTTGTTTCTATCATATTATTAATTCTCAGAGTATATCTTCTCTTTCCCTTCTTTTACATGTTTATAATACTTCTTTAGACTTTTCTCTTCTAAATCCAACTTTGGGTCTTCTCAGATTTTATTAACCACCCTTTTTTTAATCATAGGTCATATTTTTTTGTTTCTTTATGTAGCTAGTTGTGTTACTTGATACTGTGTTACTAGTTACTACATTGTTGGTGATATTTTATAAATGCCCTGCATTTCCTAATCATCCCTGCCTGGTGCAGACTTTTGTTAGACTGAACTGTGTTCTCCCAAAATTCATGCATTAATCCTAGCCCTCAATGTCACTGTATTTGGAGAAGGGACCTTCAGGCAGTAATAAAGCTTCAGTGAAATCAAAGAGTGTGGCCCTAATTTAGTGGGGCTGGCATCCTGACAAGAACAGGAAGAGACTCCACTGAGCACTCTCATTCTCCCCTCCACTGAAGGCACAAAGAGAAATCTGCTGTCCACAAGCCAGGAAGAGAGCCCATGCCAGAAAATGAATTCCCCAGTGCCTTGATCTCACCCTACCAGATCCAGATTCCAGAACCATGAGAAACTAAATCTCTGCCATTTCAGACTCCAGCCCCCAGAGAGACAGTGCTCCAGCAGGAAGACTGATGGCAGGCTAAGTTCCTTGAGACTGGTGTAAGCTTTATTCAGACATCTGGGAAAAATCTCTTTGTTTCCCAAGCATCTTTCACATGTCAGAATTCAGTCTCTAAATGTCTCCCCTTTGAGTTGTTTAGTACTTGGCTCAGGATTTAAAGCCAGCCAAGAGTGTGGGCCTTCCCTGTGGCAGGACCTTTTTTGGTGTCTCAGCCAGACACCTAAGGGTCAGCAAGGTCTCTCCACTCTGGCAGGGCCGGTCCTCCGCCCCCCCCCCAGCACTACTTGACCCCAGTACCACTCTTCTGCCTCCACCCTGAGTCTGCTGCTCCCAGGAAGCCTCAGGTTGTCTTGCCCTACAATGGTGGGACCAGTTGACCCCTGGGAACCTGTGCTCAAAACCATTCCACATTCCCTACCCTTTCTGCTTTCCAGCCCCAGCACCAACTGGCAAGAGAAAATAGGGTAATCGGACAGCAACAGTGCAGGTCACAGGGTGAGAGAGCTCACAGTGGGAACCCAGACACTGAGCACTGTTAAAGAAAGAACTGGGGTGTAGGAGGGGGCCAAGCAGAGGACTGGAAAAGTAGCCACACCTAGAGGGCCTTGGAAACAATGGCTGGGGCATTTGAGCTCTGACAACAGAGATCCAGGGGAGAATGTAGGCAGGAGTGGGGTATGATCACCTTTCATTTGTGAGACCAGCTGAGAGTGCACTTTGAGCTCTGCTCTTGTCTCTGCTCACTCCTGCCTGGGGCTGCCTCTGATGCTGGGAGCAGGATAGAAACTGCTCCAGAGAAAGGATGAGGATATGGGGCCCACAGCCCAGGACAGTCTGACACAGACAGGGCTGGGAAGGATGGGCTGGAAAGGACCTCAGAGCCTGCTGTCCTTTTCCAGAATACTCAAGAAAAACACAGAGGAGTGCCCCCCTCTCACATCCCTGGTCATCCCTCGACCCCACCCCCAGGACAGATGTTCTCTGGGCAGCATTTGCAGCAAGTTTATTTGGAACAGGTGCACATGACCCATAGGCAGGGCACAGGAGAGTCCAGGCAAATGGGGCTGAAGCCTCAGCCCTGGGTAGGAGCTCCTCTAGATCAGCTCCTGCAGGCAGAAGAGTAGTGCATGGAACCCTGCAGGGTCCTGGGGGCACTGGTTAAAACCAGAGACTAAGGCTCTGATGTCCAGCTGTCTGGCTTTGGCTCCCCAAGCCTCAGTTTCTCTACCTGAAAACGCGGTCATAGTGCCAACCCCTGGAGGCTGGACTGGGACAGTGAGGTTAGACAGATAATGGTCATGCAGTGCCAGACACAGGGAGCCCCCTCTTCCCTGGGCAGGACCTGAAGGAGCAGAGCTGGCCAGCTGCCCTTCAGGGCCCTGCTGGATGGAACTGTGAGGACAAGGGCCTCCTTTCTCCCTTCCCTCACCCAGCTCTGTCCTCACCCCACCTTCAGGGCCCTGCCTGGCAGTCTGGTGGTCACACTGCAGGCACAGTGCTTTGCAAACCATAAAACAGACTCAACTCTGGAGCCACTCTCAGTGCTGTTGGGGGTCCTGATGGGAGGAGGGTGAGAGGCCCCTCCCCGCCAGGCCAGGATCTAGAGCCAGCACAGGCTCTCATCAGGGCCAGGCTGCAGCACAGACTGAGGGGCATGAGCTCACCTCCTTCAGGAACTCGGCACACCTCCCTGTGGGACAAGACAGCATGAAGTATGGGTAGGAAGGTATCAGAGCCCACCTTAGGGCCCAGTCCAACTTCTGTGACCAGAGGAAGAGCTGGCCCAGAGGAGACCACCGAGCCTTCTTCAGTCTCCAGTGGGCCCTCCATGCTGGGCCTGTGTCCTGGAGTTTGGGTCTGCCTGCTCCAGTGAATGCAGCCAGACATACTGCCACAGCTGCTCCCAGACCCCACACTGCTCTGGGCTTAGCTCTTGTCCCATGTGATGGGAAGGACAGAGTAGACAGAGCCTCCCACCCACAGCGGGTGCCCAGCACAGCACCAGGCTCAGGAATGGGAAAACTTACCAACTGCAATGCATTCACACAGGTCACTGTGAATAAAAGTCAAGTGGTGGCATACAAGGAGGGGCCAGGCAGGCCCAGGTCTCTGCCCATCCCTAGGAGGCCCTAACCCTAAGAGGGACACACTCACAGTCATTCTTAAGCAGGTGTATGTCTGGCCCCGTGAGCCCACGCTCCTGAGCCACCATGTGGAACTTCTTCAAGGCTTCCTCATTGTGGTCCAGGCTCCGGCCTATGGGCGAGGATGGGCCTGGGCTGCTGGGGGCATCACAAGTGTCCCCCTCCCTGTTTTATCCCCAGGGTTCTCTCCTGTCCCCCTCTCAAAGCTGGGAGTTCCCATGCAGGGCAGGGGTGGGCACAGATGGGGTGACAACAGCACCACCCAGACAAATTCAGCCTGGTCTGGGCTTACTATAAAGTTTCATGACCCGATGGACTGTCCCAGCCATTTGGAGAAAGACGTCCATGATGGTGTAGGACTTAGAGTCGGTAGCCACGATCTCGACATCCTTGTCTCCTGGGACACAAGTCAAATATGAGCATCCCCCACCTGGCCAGGGCTCCAGCTCCAGAGCTGGCTCCCACCTGGCACACACACATGCATGAGGACACCCAAAAGGGAGGGAGTGGGCCTGGGATTGTCTGAGGGACTCTCTGAAAGGGGGAACCTCACTGACCATGACAAGAAGATGCTATATCACACCCTTTCTAAGATTTCAGAGGAGGTTACCAAACTCTGGTAAAGACCTTAGAGGCCTGGGACAGTGGCCACAAGGCCACCCAGCCAGCATCGGGGCGTGGAAGCCTGGTATGGAGCCATCACGCACTGAAGGCGCAAGGCTGGGATGACCAGATAGCATCCTGCTGATGCCAGGCCCTCACAGGAAGGGACAGAGTCCTCCCCTCCAGGACAGCAGGGAGCTGGCCAGGGAACATGAGCCCAGAGCAGGAGCAAAGCATACCTAGGACAACCCATCACGCCCACCACACACAGGAATGGGACCCTTACCAGCTGTTCTAATGACTTTGAACCTCCCTGGAGCGTCCCCCGGCAAGGCTCTGACCTGCTCTATCACACAGCCCTTCTCACTAGAAAGACAAAAAGGCAAGTCAAGCACGTTGGCACTCAGGAGACTGAGGCAGGAGAATCACGAGTTCAAGGCCAGGTTGGACTACAGAGTGAGTTTAAGTCCAGCCAGGGCTGCATAGTGAGGTCTGAACTAGATAGCCAGACCCTGGCTCAAAAAAAAGAAAGACAATGAGGTGCCGCCAACCAGCTGCCCTCACTTACCAGGCCCCAGGCTCTCACCGTGATTGCTTGGTAAACAGTCCAGAAGTCCAGAGACCAGTCAGATACAGGGGTTCTAATGTCCTCTGAACCCATGACCCCAGAGAGCAGGACCCCAACTCAGTGCCTGGCACAGGAAGAAGGCTGTCTCACAGAGTAACAAGGGAAAGCAGCAGTGACAAGTCCCTAGAGAAGGGGGTCTGCTTTGAGAACCCTCATAGCTGAGGCTCACAGACACAGAAAGGACTGAGGACACACTCTCTGAAGCACAGGGACACACCACGTTTGACAAAGTGACCTGGTTCCACATATGCAAGCAGGTCCTCTGGCCAACTGGCCCATGGGAACTTAGCTGTTGCCCGGTGTGCCAGCGTGAGTTGCTGACCTGAGCCAACCTTGCCCAACTTCTCTTCAGTCACTTCTCACAGCCTTACAGCTGGAAAAGTGGACCTCAGAGCTAGCTCACTTGCCTGGATCAGAGTCCCAGATGGCAGAACTGGAGGCCAAGCCCCAGCACTGGCCCTAGGATCAGAGATCAGTGCTGCTCCAGGTTGCCCCTCGTCCCTCTCTGCGGCCAAGGCTAAGGCACAGACACATAGGTGGAAGGACTCCAGGATGAACAGAGCACACTGCGAACACTGCTCCAACTTTCCCCCGGCACTAGCCCCTGGACCCAAGGTCAGGCCCCAACTCACTTGTAATAGGTGGTGGTCAGGGTCAGTTGGTTCCCTTCCAGCTTGACCACCACAGCCCCCATCTTCTCCACCTTGAGGGGCAAGCTGGGCATACCCATCTTGGAAGCAAAGGCAATCTCATACCAGAGGCCTGAAAACTAGAGGACAGGGAGCAAGGAAGAGAGCTGTCCAGGTTCACAAGCGTCCAGGATCAGGCGTCCTGCCATTGCCCTTCCCTCTAATGGGTGCAGCAGTCTGGAAGATTTCAGGTGGAGGGTACCTCACAAGGTGGAGTCCTAAAGCCCCTCTCTAGGCTAGCTCTGGGCAGGTCCCAAGAGAGCACTAAGCTCAGCTCATGAGGTGACTATGGCTACCTTGACAAAGTCAAATTCCTTCAGCACAGCATCCTGTGTCCCAGCCACCAGACCCATGCACAGCCCCAGCAGGGTGAGGAGCACTTTTCCTTCCATGTAGCCAGCAGGCAGATGCCTAGGACCAGCTCCCCAGAGCACAGCTTTGATACAGGGCCTCTAGACTTTATATCCTCCCCTGTGGGCACTTTCTAAGCAAATGGCCTGGCTCTCAGGGCCTCTGGAATTTATATCCTTCCCTATGGGCACTTGGAAGGGGTACAGGCAGCTCTCATTAGGCAGGTTGGCAGCACAGTGTGGACCAGCCAGATGGCTCGCCCACCTGCCAGATGGCAGGGCCACAGGAAACCGCCTCCAGTGGGCAGTGAGTGCTGCTGTTGGTCATCCACTCATGGACACATTCACTCACTCAGTAATCATGCTGCTCTGTCCAGCTGACTGGATAGCACAGGCTCCATTCAGATAGTCCAGGTTCCACCAAGGCCCCTTGGCAGGCCCTGGTTGTAGGCACAGAGCACCTGAGGACCTGCTGGGTCACAGATTTGCCTGCTGTAGCAGGTAGCCAGGCATCAGCAACCCACACACACATGGGACAGCAGGAACAGGACTCAGGACATCAGAGCCATGCATGATTGAGTCTGTTCAGCTCCAAGGACTAAGAGCAGTGAGGACAGGGTCAGGACATCCTGGCCCCTCTGACCCCACTGCTGACCTACCAAGTACTTTGAAGAAGCCACATTGGTCCAGAAGTGGCCAGGTGAACAGCATGTCACTGACTGAATACTAGGGCAGATGCCAGCCCTGCTTCCCTGGCATTCTTGCTCCTTATCCACAAACTTGTTCCTGCGGGGAGGTACAACAGTCTCCAGCCCACAGGTGAAGAGCTGGGTTCGGAGGTGCAAGACACTCCCAGATCCACACAGCAAAGCCGACTCTGGGCTCAGAACCCCAGGGGAGCAGTTGACATGCACAGATACAGTATCCAGTCAGACCCGCTGGTGGACTGACTTCCTCTCTTTCCTCCCAGCATAGGCTACAGGCCAGTGCTCCCCACGAAAACCAGGCACAGTCTAGTCTGGGGACTGGATGGAGGCAGGGTGGCCAACAGGACTGGGCCAAGGATCCAGGCCTCCCTCTGTCTCAGCCAGCCCCAGCTAGGCTCCCAACACGCCCTCTGACTTCAACAGAATACTCTAGATCAGCTCCTGCAGGCACAAGAGCAGAACCAGGGTCCTGCATGGTCCCTGGGATCCTGGGAGCTCTGGTTACCGCTGTACAGGGGGAACCTGATACCCTAACTGTCTGACTTTGACTCCCTGAACCTCAATTTCTCTAGGTGCAAAATGAGGTTAAAGTGCCAACCTCTAGGGACTGGGCTGAAATAAAGTGAGGTCTAGCAAGTGACAGGTCCCCCACAGTGCCAGACACAGGAAGCCCAGAGACAGGTCCTGCAGGACCCACACCTCCTCACACCCCAGGGCAGAACCTGAAGAGGAAGAGCTGGCCAGCAGCCCCACACAGCCCTGCTGGACAGAACAGTGAGGACAAAGGGCCTCCCCTCTCTCCTCCTTCACCTAGCTCTGTCCCCACCTCAACTCCCAGGGCCTAGGGATCACACTGCAGGTACAGTTTGAAAACCACAAAACAGATATATCTCTGGAGCCACCCTCAATCCTTTTTTTTTTAAATAATAATAATTATTATTATTATTATTATTAATGTTTTGTTATTCATATGTGCATACAAGGCTTGGGTCATTTCTCCCCCTTGCCCCCACCCCCTCCCTTACCACCCACTCCGCCCCCTCCCTCTCTCTCCCACCCCCTCAATACCCAGCAGAAACTATTTTGCCCTTATCTCTAATTTTGTTGAAGAGAGAGTATAAGCAATAATAGGAAGGAACAAGGGTTTTTGCTGGTTGAGATAAGGATAGCTATACAGGGCATTGACTCACATTGATTTCCTGTGCGTGTGTGTTACCTTCTAGGTTAATTCTTTTGATCTAACCTTTTCTCTGGTTCCTGGTCCCCTTCTCCTATTGACCTCAGTTGCTTTAAGGTATCTGCTTTAGTTTCTCTGCGTTAAGGGCAACAAATGCTAGCTAATTTTTTAGGTGTCTTACCTATCCTCACCCCTCCCTTGTGTGCTCTCGCTTTTATCATGTGATCAAAGTCCAATTCCCTTGTTGTGTTTGCCCTTGATCTAATGTCCACATATGAGGGAGAACATACGATTTTTGGTCTTTTGGGCCAGGCCAACCTCACTAAGAATGATGTTCTCCAGTTCCATCCATTTACCAGCTAATGATAACATTTTATTCTTCTTCATGGCTGCATAAAATTCCATTGTGTATAGATACCACATTTTCTTAATCCATTCGTCGGTGGTGGGGCATCTTGGCTGTTTCCATAACTTGGTTATTGTGAATAGTGCCGCAATAAACATGGATGTGCAGGTGCCTCTGGAGTAACCTGTGTCACAGTCTTTTGGGTATATCCCCAAGAGTGGTATTGCTGGATCAAATGGTAGATCAATGTTTACCTTTTTAAGTAGCCTCCAAATTTTTTTCCAGAGTGGTTGTACTAGTTTACATTCCCACCAGCAGTGTAACAGGGTTCCTTTTTCCCCGCATCCTCGCCAACACCTGTTGGTGGTGTTGTTGCTGATGATGGCTGTTCTAACAGGGGTGAGGTGGAATCTTAGTGTGGTTTTAATTTGCATTTCCTTTATTGCTAGAGATGGTGAGCATTTTTTCATGTGTTTTTTTGGCCATTTGAATTTCTTCTTTTGAGAAAGTTCTGTTTAGTTCACTTGCCCATTTCTTTATTGGTTCATTAGTTTTGGGAGAATTTAGTTTTTTAAGTTCCCTATATATTCTGGTTATCAGTCCTTTGTCTGATGTGTAGTTGGCAAATATTTTCTCCCACTCTGTGGGTGTTCTCTTCAGTTTAGAGATTATTTCTTTTGTTGAGCAGAAGTTTTTAGTTTTATGAAGTCCCATTTATCTATGCTATCTCTTAGTTGCTGTGCTGCTGGGGTTTCGTTGAGAAAGTTCTTGCCTATACCTACTAACTCCAGAGTATTTCCTACTCTTTCCTGCATCAACTTTAGAGTTTGTGGCCACCTTCAATCCTACTGGGGCTCCTGATCAGAGGAAGGTGAGCAGCCCCACACACACCAGTATCTAGGGCCAGTAGGGGCTCCTATCAGGCAGGGCTGCAGTGCAGACCAAGGGACACAGGCTCACCTCCTTCAGGAGCTTGGCACACTTCCCTGCAGGACAGGGAAGCATGAGGTTCAGGCAGGAGGGCGTCAGAGCCCCCCACAAGGCCCAGGCAAGGGTTCTCCCTGAAATGCCTGTACTCATTGTGCCGGGCCAGCAGGTAGAGGCCTGTGTCTTCTGTCAACTTCTGGAAGCTCCAGAAGCCCGCTTGTCCTCATCCTCAAGGCTCCGAGCTGTGGGGCTCAGGGGAGCAGGGCAGGCAGTCCCCAGGGAGGGCAGCATGTGACACAAGCCCCACCCTGGCCAAGCTTACTGAAGTGTTGAGCACATGGAATTCCCTGCCTCGAAGAACAGGGTCCCCTCAAGATGCCACAGTGTCTGGCATGTGGATCTCCCTGTCCTCCAGGAGCTAGCTGTGGGGTTGGGCACACCGAGAGGGGGGACCTTGAAGGCTCTGTCTGCAGGGTCACATTGCATCCTGTCCCTGCCCAGAGCCTGGATTCGCCCATGATGTCCTGGGCGCCCAGAGAGGCCCTGGAATGCTGGTAGGGTGGGGGGACCTGGGGCCTGAGGAACCCAGAAACAGCACAGAGAGCCTTGAGGCAAGATGTAACTTGTAGGATTGGGCAGGGCAACAGAACTTACGAGGAAAAGCAAATACCCCAGGACATCTCTTTCTGATCCCACTAATTTTTTTTTTTTTTTGCTTCCTGAACTGTATGACAACAAAACGTACATTAGGAAATGGGCAGCTTACCTTAAAAGCAACTGAGGCCAATAGGAGAAGGGGACCAGGAACTAGAGAAAAGGTTAGATCAAAAAGAATTAACCTAGAAGGTAACACACACGCACAGGAAATCAATGTGAGTCAATGCCCTGTATAGCTATCCTTATCTCAACCAGCAAAAAACACTTGTTCTTTCCTATTATTGCTTATACTCTCTCTTCAACAAAATTAGAGATAAGGGCAAAATAGTTTCTGCTGGGTATTGAGGGGGGAGAGGGAGGGGGCGGAGTGGGTGGTAAGGGAGGGGGTGGGGGCAGGGGGGAGAAATGACCCAAGCCTTGTATGCACATATAAATTTAAAAAAATGTAAAAAAAAAAAAAAAAAT